TGAGCATTCTCCACTTTCCTGATTTTTTCTTGATGACAAATACTGGAGAATTCCAGGGACTAGTGGAAGGTTCTATATGATCTTGCTCTAATTGAATCTGTACTAGTTCTGTTGAGGCCTCTAATTTTTCCTGAGAGAGGGGCCACTGTTGGATCCAGAGAGGCTTGTTGTTAGTCCATTTAAGAGGCACAGGTGCTCGTAGCTCTGCAATAGTGGCCTCTATTAAAAAGGCTTTTGATAGTCTGATTTATAACCTAGTCCCCTCCCCTGCTGAAGCGAGGGCTGAATAGGCTGAGTAATTCCCTGATTAAATCTCCCTAACCCTTTTCCTGGCTGAAATCCCATTTGACTCACTTTTTTTACTTTGTGGGCTATACTTCCTGGGGGGATCCAGATTTCTGCTTCCCATTGTGTAAGTAAATCTCGACCCCATAGATTGACTGGAATGCCAGCAATATAGGGTTGTAAAAAGACTTGTTGACCTTCCGGCCCAATGCAAGGACGAATGCAAACACTCTGGTGTAAGCCTGAGGCTCTGCCTACTCCAGCTATGTTGATATCAGGCTCCTGTAACTTACAGCCTTTTGGCCATTCTTGAGAACTGGTTATTGAAACATCAGCTCCAGTGTCTAAAAGACCTTGAAATTTCTTGCCTTGGATTTCAATTTGACAAACAGGATGAATTCCTGAGATTTTTTCTGCCAGAAAAATACTTGCCTGTCCTGTACTTCCAAAACTGCCAGTTCCCCTTTTCTGCATCCTCTTTTTTTCCTGGGAGAATGTACCGGAGCAGGAGTAATTGTGCTACCAGCTCTCCTTTTTTTGCTGACCAGGGAACTGAGGATGACATTATAATTTGAATCTCTCCTTCATATTCAGAATCAATTATACCTGTATGGACAGTGACTCCCTTGAAAGTTAAGCTAGAGCGACCAAGGAGAAGTCCAACAGTATTTGGGGGAATCGGCCCAAAAATTCCTGTAGCCACATGAAGAGGTGATTCTCCAGGAAGTAATAAAATATCCTGTGCCGTACAAATGTCTACTGCGGCACTTCCCTCAGTAGCAGGGCTTAATTGTTGTACTGAAAGTTTGGGGGACGCACAGCTTGGTAATTCTGAGGAACGGCTGGTGTCACATATGCCCCAGTTGTTGTCGGGGCCTGGGGCTGGCCCCTTTTCCCATTTCCCTGAAGGGGAGCTCCATCCTTATGAAAAACTGATCTACACTCAGCTGCCCAGTGTCTTCCTTTTTGGCACCTAGGACATAAACCAGGCGGCTTAGATTCCACTGGAGCAGAAGTATTAGGTGGGCGGGAGCTATTTCTGTTTTTCTTTAGGCACTCCTTTGGAGTATGACCAGCCTTTCCACAATTGTAGCAAGTGCCAGGGAATTTGTTCTTTCCCACTGTTAACCCTGTAATAGCCTGAGCAAGCATGGTTGCTTTAAACTGTTCTGTTCCTACCCCTTGACATAAACGAAGATACCCCATGGCATCTGTTTTTCCTTTCTGAGCTCCTGTTGCTTTTTTACAATCCTCATTAGCATTATCATAAGCCATAATTTGTAAAATTGTCTCAGCCGCTTGAGCATTGTTGACCTGCTTATTTATAGCACCCTGCAAGCATAAATTCTGAGTAAGGTTCCTGAAGACCTTGTAAAACTCTCTGAAAAGAGGATGGAGTTTTACCTTCCATCTCTAGCTTCTCCCATGCCATCAAACAAATTCGTGTGAGCTGAGCTAAAGCCTCTTCTTCCATATCTAATTGATGGTGAGTGTCTGTCCAATCACCAACTCCTAATAACTGATCTTTAGCTACATCAATATTATGAGCCTGATTATGTCTGCCCTGCATTTCTGCACCATCAATCCACCATGTCTTGAATTGTAAAAGTTGGGAAGACAGACACGTTTTGGCCAGGGCGTTCCAATCTACTGGAATCAATCGATGGCCATCTGCTATTCCTTTAAGAAGGCCCATTGTGTATGGAGAAGCAGGTCCATGCTGAATCACAGCCTGTTAGAGCTCCTTAAGCAATTTGAAAGAAAAGGGCTCACAGCTAAGCTCCTGGACTCCTTCAGGGTGGTCTGCAGCAGGGGCGACACGCTCATGAACGACAACAGGGAAAGCCAAAGCATCCAAGTCTCCTTCTAACCTAGCCTGTTGTACGCCTCGCTCCACTTCAGATAACAGCCTGTGAGAGCCTCCGGCAGGCAGGGGAGGTGCTCGGGCAGCAGAGAGAAAAGGATTGTTGCCCTTGAGCGGCTTTCTGAGAAGTTTCTCTTTCTGCGCCGTGAATAAAAGCGGCTGCAAAGGCGGAGGAGACTGAGGTAAAGGAGTGTGGTGGATGAATTATAGTTTTCCAAACAGCCTTTCAAAGGTGGATGTAACGATTTTGGAATGACTGTGGGTGCCTCTAAAGAACCTTTCTCCCTTTCCTCTGGAGTTTCCTCTTGATCTCCATCTTCCTCAGAACTTACTTTCTGATTTTTACAACCCTGATCATTATCTTCCGCTTCATCTTCCATGTCAGTTTGCAGTGGTTCTAAAACTGACCAGACCAGCCTCCACGTATCCCAAATTGTGGCTGGGAGTGAGACTCCCTGACGCTATATCTCACTGAGGTGTTTGCCTACAGCGTCCCATGGCTCTAAGTCCAAGGTCCCTAAGTTAGGAAACCAGGAGCAATGAGTCTCTATGACCTTTAAAAGCTCCTCCAATTTCTTTTCTGAGACTTTAAGCCCTCCTTTTTTTTTTTTTTTAAGATTTTTATTGGGGAATTGGGGGAAGGGGAACAGACAAGTTGCTGTCCTTTTTGTTCTTCAGTCTAGTTGTGGAGGACGTTGCTTCACTGGCCCAAGTTGGCACCATCATTGCGCTCTTCCCAGGCGAGGCAGATCAGTCGCCGGCTTCTGGACGGCCACCCACTGCGGCTACTGGCCGCTCACGCTGGCTGCTGGCTACACACGGTAGCCCATGGCAACCCACCTGCCATCGCGGGTGACTCACAGCAGCCCAGCTCCAGGTTGAGCTGTTGTTCAGCATCTTAGCTGTGGAGGGCAGTGTCACGGCCCTCATATGTGGGATCCGAACAGGGGCCCTCTGGCGTCCCAAGCCAGCTCTTAACCAATGCGCCACTCGGCCGGCCCTAATCCCTCCTTTCTTAATAAGCTGCTTCAACAAGCAGATATAAGGTCTGTATTGACTATGAACATTACCCATGTTAGTAAAAGGAAAGAAAGGAATAAGTTTCACTCAAAGTTCACTCAGATGCCCTTCTGGCCGCGTCTCTCGCGTGACTTTCAGGTCTGCCTCGGTTAAGGTGCGCCTGTATAAATCCCAGGCCTGGTTGACAGATTGCCAAGTCACCGTTATGCCTTTATGGCTGGGCCATGGAACCGCAGATAAGGACCCAAACAAACTCCATAGCAATGCTGTGGAGCTACAATCAATCACTCACACTTTCACACTCTTTCACACGAAAGTTTAGAAATTAGTTAATACCTCGGTTACCCTGGTTAAATCTTCCGGGATCTACCCTGCCCCCTTACCAGGCAGCTTGCTGCGGCTCCTCCCGGGCCCTTTTCACCGTAGAATTTTTTTCTTTTCTTTTTCTTAGACTCTAAGTCTTCCTTCCCTCTTGGAGCTCTCACGTTGGGCGCCAGATGCCGCGTCCTGCACAGCACAGGCAGTGATGAATGAGGGGACGGCACAGGGTGAAAGAAAATAAAAGAGACAAAGATAGATTTATGACACAAGGCCAGGGGGCTGCAGTTTTCTCTCTTTGGAACTGAGCACCTAATCAGACCAACGTGAAGCTTTTATTAAGAAACTTCAAAGGAGTAAAACTTTTTTATATTTTCTAAAGTCCGTGTGATAAGTGCCTTAAGGCCAATTACCATCAACCAGACCCATAGTACTCCAACACATGCTGTGCCTTCGTACTCCCACACACACAACCCCCAGGGTGGTGCAGCTGCAGCTGCGGCCATGAACTAAGGGAGATGACCGACATCATTCCGCCGGGTCCCAGTTTTCCAGGACACTCCCTCCTGACCTTGTTAGGTCAGGGGCTGATGTGGGGGGGCAGTCGAGGATGAGGCTGTAAGGCAACAAGTATCAATCTTCCTTAAAATAAGAAATCCAACCTACACTTTTTTCCCTTAACAAGCATGTGGGAGAAGAGGAAAAGTGATACTATTAACAATTTGGCAGACCAGTCGTGATCGGATTTATATTGTTTAGGAATAATGGAATTTCATTTATAACATTACTATTATGACAACATTAATATAATATATATTACAATTTTCAATAAGATGACTGATGAGGGTTTTAGGTTTGTTTGAAGATCTTTTGACAGGACAGTGCATCAGATTCTGATGTTTTTGGAGAATAACAAGACCACTTTTTCTAAATTGTACTTCTAAAATTAGACTTAACAGAACAGAACAAGTTGTAACAATTAGGATTATTCACACTCACTCTTTGTTTCGCACAGGAAAACAAGATTATCCTGTTAATGTTTTCAGTTTAACAAATTGTCAGACAGGATTGTTTGCTCTAGATTATGGCCTAGAAAAGAAAATATTTCATTCTGTGGCTGCAGGACAGAGGGGACATCATTTTCATGTTTCTGTGACTCCATGTGCTAATTATGAAGATTTGTATTTTTAGGCAGGATTTGGAATTTCATTATTTGTCATAAAAATTGCAAATCGGGTCTCCAGAACTCCATTTTACTGGCAAAAGTGGAGAAAGAGATAAACAGGGTTTTATTTAACAACATTGAAATAATGTTATAATTCTTCTGGCATTAATCTTTCACATCTACATTAAACATTCCTTTTACCCTTTGAAAAATAAGTTTATCACCTGTTTTAGCAATTATTTTTAAGCTATGAAAACATTGAAGTTATAATGGAAAAGATAAGCTCTAGCATAGACTTGTGATATTCTCTTTAAGGTTTTATTCCGTGGTGTTTATCTTTGTGTGCAGGAGACAGATGCTGAGCCCTTACTGTGACACCCTCAGAAGTAATCCCTTGCAGTTAACATGCAGACAGGACCAGAGAGCAGTTGCAGTGTGTAACTTGCAGAAGTTCCCGAAACCTTTGCCTCGAGAGTACCAGGTAACATGTGTTTGGGGCACAATTTTAGGAATCAACTTTTTAAAAAGAAGTTTCCATTTTGAATTAAAGGAGTGAGTTCTCTTAAGCTTTCCAATTTGCAAGGTCCTATTTGTTTTCTACAAGTCAGAACAAAGCTGAGGAATTCCTCCATTTCTTTATAACCTAGGTGCTATTGATAGCAAGTAATTAATATGTAGCAGTGCCTTGTAGAAATGGTTAGAGGCATTTGGAATATTTATTTCGATCTAACTGTTTTTAACTGCTTGTTTTTTCTTTCTAATTGTTTTTAAAGTCTTCGTCTTTAATTTCCTCTAATTTACACAGAAAACGAGGTTCTTTTAAAGGAAATAACTGAGGTACTCTAATCCAGTTAACTAGAAGGCTTGGAAGTTTTGTTTTAGAAAAGATTTGAATGTGGGATGTAAAAGGTGAAGGAAATGATCCTACATGTTCAGTTTGCATTTGATTTGACCTTTTAAGTGTTTGTTGCCATGGCTCTCTCCAAAAAGCCTCAGCTTGCCTGCCATTTTCAAAGCACTCTTGAGTCAGAAATGATAGCTCAGAAGCTAACTTAAAATGTTGTTAAATTTTGAGCTTCCTACATATATTTATGAGCTTGCTGAGTGCTTCACACACCATAAGATGGCAACTATATTTTAGGCATAGTACTATAATTCAATGCGTGGGTGTAAAATGTGAAACCTTTAAGATTTATCTGGTGCCTTGTTCTTTTGGTGTTCAAAGTATTGTACATACGTATATGATCTCTTTCATTTTCTCAGTTTTATTTTTTCAAGTTTCTCAAAACAATATATAAATTAATTCTCCCCAAAACACTTGAAGTACAGTATATTTACAGTCTTAATTCTATGCATTAGTTTTGTTTTGTCAACTCTTAAAAGTCTTCCTTTTCAGCCTTTAAAAACATTAGTCAAATTTTATCTAATAAAAAACAGACCCATTTACTATTTACCTTGCGTATTTCTAAAACTGCAACTTTGACATACCTGAGGTAGTATATTACTATCTTTGTGTTGTACTATATATGAAGAAGAAAACTACATTAATATCTTCGTTGTGTTACACAGCATTAGAGGGTGGCTATAAATTTCCTGTGGGCTTTGTTTTGATTATACAGAATGTTTCTTTCTTTCCTTTTTTCCTAATAATTATTTTTGTAGTACTTTGATGAACTCAATGGACTACCTGCAGAAGATTTGCCTTATTATGGTGGCTCAGTAGAAATTGCTGACTATTGCCCTTTCAGTCAGGAGTTCAGTTGGCATTTAAGTGGTGAATATCAACGCAGCTCAGATTGTAGAATATTGGAAAATCAACCAGGTTAGTAGTCTAGCGAAATGAAATGTTATATACATATTACAATTATATACCAGCAATGTAAAATAGTGATTAAGGGCACAGACCCTGGAGTCAGACTATCTGAGTTTGTATTGTGGTTCCACTGCTGCCCATCTGTTGTAAGTAACTTAACTTCTCTGTGCCTCAGTTTCCTCCTCTGTACAAAGTGGATAATAATACCTATCTTATAGATATGTTGTGAGAATTAAATGAATTAATATAATAAGAGCTTAGAACCATGACACATAGAAAGGTTTGTTAGCTATGAGATACACTTGCACATGTATACACACACACTACATCTGCATGACACTTTTCATTCGCAAAGCACTTCCATTTTTATTGTTTCACTTTAATCTCCTAAAAACCTGATGAGAGATGTAGAGAAGATGTTATTGAACTTTACAGATGAATGAAGAGACACTAAGTGATACAGTTAATTGGTGTTAGTGCAGGATCCTGCAAAGGAGAGCTGTTTTGAGTTAATTACATTAGGTATCCTATTTTTTCCTTCCCTGAGGAGTGTGCATTTTATGTAATTTAGAAGTAACATCATTTTCCAGATATCAGAATCGCACTGTTGTCCCATGGCTAGTAAAATGTATTGCCATATTATTTATTCCCTCTTTATAGGAATCAAAGGAATAAACAGTGTGGCAATTGGATATTCAGCAATCATAGTTATAGCTCATACTAACCACCTTTGTAAATAAAATATTCTCACATCTGATATGTGAGTACACAGCAATGAGTAGTTTTTTCTCTGTGGTCATCAAAAATTTTAACCTGGTCTTCCCCCTCCACACCCCTCTCCCCTGTCCTATCCCATACTTTATTACAAAGTAGTCATTTAAAATTTAAATTTGCGTAATATTTTTTTCTTTTATTCTTAAACCTGGCAGATGTAACTGGGTTTGTACAGTTATTTTTTTCCATCACTCACCTACTTAATAAATGTATGATACAACTACTTAGCAGTTCCATATTAAAAGCAAAAGAAATGCCCAGGTCTGTCAATTATGGATTTGTCAAAAATATAGTATCACATTTTATTGTTTTAGAGCTGGAGTTGGCAAACATTTATTGTAAAGAGCAAGATAGTAAATATTTTAGGCTTTGTGGGTCATACAGTCAGTGTTGCAACTACTCAACACTGCTGCTATAGTGTGAAAGCAGTGTGAAAGCAGTCATAGACACTATGTAAATGAATGAGTACGGCTGTGTTCAGGAAAACTTGATAAAAACCAGTAACCCTCTGGATTTGGCCTGTGGGTTGTAGGGTTGTAGTTTGCTTGCCCTTCTTTTTTTAAATGCTGATCACAGTGTTTATTTTTTTACTGGGGAATCAGGGGAAGGGGAACAGACAAGTTGCTGTCCTTTTGTTCTTCAGTCTAGTTGTGGAGGACGTTGCTTCACTGTCCCATGTTGGTATTATTGTGCTCTCCCCGGGTGAGGCAGATCAGTTGCCGGCCTCTGGATGGCCACTCATGGTGGCTCTTGGCAGCTCACACCGTCTGCCAGCCACACACGGTAGCTTATGGCAGCCCACTGCAGCAGGGGCTGCAGCCTACGCCGTCGCTGGCATCTCACAGCAGCCCAGCTCCAGGTCGAGCTGTTGTTTACCACCTTAGCTGTAGAGGGCAGTGTCACTGGCCCCCATGTGGGATCCGAACCGGGGCCCTGCTGCTCAGAGCTGGCGTCCCAAGCCAGCTCTTAACCAACGCGCCACTCGGCCAGCCCCCACAGTGTTTTTTAAGGACTTTGAAGAACTTATATATAAAAGAAATATAGAGTTCTGTTTTACATTCTTTTTCTTAGCTTATATAATTAAGGTTTTTCAAAACTGACAAAATAAAATACTTTATAATATTTCAAAATGGGCTAATTGAACTCTACTTTCAGGATAAAACTTACTTGTATTAAGTGTAAAGAGAGCAAATTATTGCTAGAGTTTAAGAATCCCTTTGTCCATTTTAGAGGTCACCGAGTCCACCCCATACCTCTGCAGGTTTGTGCTTAGTCTATAACTAAATCAGTATGAACTTCCAGGAAATGACATAAATTGAAAATACAAGTTTGCAGAAGTTGCATCACCCCAAAACACTTTCATTATATAAATCGTTGGCCATCCTATGTTGGATTACTTGGGAGATGACCCCAGTTTAGGCCACCAGTGAAGGTGATTCTTCATGCCATTTCCTCTATATATCTAACTTAAATATTTTAGGCCCAGTTTTATCTCTTGTTTCTGATATAATAATTTTCTCCCATTGGTTTCTTTACTGAGAGCTCAGTTTGAGTTTGGAGACCTCTTTCTTTTGATGTTTTTCATTGGAAGTTTTTCTATTAAACATGTTTGATTTTTAAAGCAACTTTTAATAATAAGAATGGAATGCTTCAGTTTCTTGTTCTTTGAAAGTCAATTTTTAAGAAAACTTTTCTGGTTTGCTTCAGACCTTTTTAAAAACTATGGTGCTGAAAAATACGGACCTCATTCAGTTTGTCTAATTCAAAAATCAGCATTTGTCATGGAAAAGTGTGAAAGGAGGCTGAGTTACCCAGACTGGGGAAGTGGATGTTATCAGGTAAACTAAATGATTGTTAATAATTATACGAAATATTATGTAATTTTATCTCATTATTTGGTTTTTATATTTTAAAATACATTTTATCTTTTTATAGTTAATTTACTGATTAATACTGTAACTTTTCTTGTTTACTTATATAAATATTTCTTTGGATGTTTGTGTTTTGTGAAGAACATATTGTCATTTTTTTGAGAGAAATTGCCCTTCTCCATTTGTTTAAAAATATATAATTGCTGTATATCAGCAAGTTTTATAATAATTTTACTTCTGGGCATATAGCCTAAGGAAATAATGGAAAATACGTAATTTTGTTCTTGAATAGGTATTACTTTGTAATGGAAAAAATTTACAATTTTGTTGTATAAGATCTAAGGAAAACATAGATTTAAGAATTAATAAATTAACTACTGATTAATAATAGTTTTTTTCCTTTGAAATTAAAAACCAAAAGGGGGAAAATTACTATTTCCTTAATTATCTTATTTGCATATCTGATAGTAAATGACTGCATCACCCCATTAAGAACTTATTAAGATACAGACATTCTGTAACGTAGGAGCATCCAACTTAATGAATATTCCATTCTGTACCAATGGATGTCAGGGAGGAGAGTGTGATCCTGAAAACTGAAAAATAAGAATTTGTTGTGCCATTTCAGCTGCAAGAGCTACGTGAATTTTGTAGCTGGGAATTTAACTATTATTTTAATTAATTAATTAATTAATTTTATTAGTTTCAGGTGTACAAAACATAGTGATTAGACATTTATATACCTCACAAAGTGATACCCCTAATAAGTCTAGTACCCACCTGGCACTATACATAGTTATTACCATATTATTGACTATATTCCCTCTGCTGTACTTTACATCCTGTGACTATTTTGTAACTGCCAATTTGTACTTCTTAATCCCTTCATTTTTTTCACCCAGTCCCTCAACCCCACTCCCATCTAGTAACCATCAGTTGGTTCTCTGTATTTATGGGTCTGTTTCTGTTTTATTTGTTCATTTATTTTGTTGTTTAGATTCCACGTATAAGTGAGATCATATGGTATGTGTCTTTCTCAGTCTGACTTATTTCACTTAGCATAATATATTATTTCTAAAGTTACTTATAAAATTAACTTTTTTTTGGTAACAGCTTTATTGAGATATAGTTCACACACCATACAATTCATATAAAATTCTCTTTGAGACCTTATAAAAGATAATTAAAAATAAACACTTTCCAGCTATAATCGGACAGCTATAATCCAGCAACAATTTTCTGATAAATTTGATTAAAGATTTATGTATTGATTAAATACATAATTTTGACGTAGTGTAACCACATAACATAATTTTGTTTCGCTGCCATCACTGGGTACTCTATATGCAGAACAAAACACCCTTTCCAAGTTTTTCTAATAATAATACTATTCTTTATGGCTATAGAATATTACATCATTTTAAAGTATCATAATTTGGAAAGTCACATTCTTGTTATATATTTAGTTAATTTTCACTATGTAAAAATGCTATTAGAAGTATACTTATATATTTTACCTTTTTTAAAATTTATTTTTGAAATAAATTTCCATAAGTGAGAATATTAGGTTAAAGGGGATAAAGCTAAAACAGTGACAACTATAATAGGAGGATGGGGATTATGCAGATTTGTAATACCATATACAAAGATTGAATGTACTATTTGGCTTCCCTGTACCTAGTGTTGTCAGTTAATTTTACTAATTTAATACTAACCACAATTTATGTGGGAAAGTGTGTATGATTTCCAAACAATTAACATATGGATTAGCTGTTTTGTTTTTGTTGTTTGTTTTACTTATTTTGACAGAGAAGTTGCAAGAATGGTACAAAATATTTTTTCCCGAGTCATTTAAGTATAATTGCTGATATGCTTCTCCTTCACTCCCAAATACTTTAATGTGTATTTCTTATAAACAAGGACATCTTCCTTTAGAACCACAATACTACCCTCCCAAAAATCAGGAAATTAAGATTGCTATATCTAATTCTCACTTCATTTAAGTGTTGCCAGTTGTCCCAATAATGTCCTTGTAGCAGTAGGATCTGCACTATTGTCACATGTTGCGTAGTTGTCATGTCTCTGTCATTTTTCAGTCTGGAACAGCTCCTCAGTCTTTTCTTGACTTGCATTACCTTGATACGTTTAAAGATGACAAGCCAGTTCTTTTCTAGGATGTGTCTCAATTCAGGTTTGTCTGTTTTATTAAATTCTGGTAATTTATTTGGGGCAATAATATCACAGAAGTGATGCTTGTACTCTGGTGGTCCACTCTTGATTTGTCACTTTACTGGTGATGTTAGGATGTTGGTATCTACGAGACTTTTCCACTGACAAGTTACTCTTTTTCTGTTTTAATTAATTTTGTAATTAATAAGTATTTTTGGGGCAGGTACTGTGTCAACTTACTTCTTATTAATTTTATTAATTTATGTATTTATATCAGTATTGACTTATGGATTCCATTTTATTCGATGGGTATTACCATTACTGTCATTATTTATTTTGATATTCAAGTTGCCCCGGTTTTGGCCAGAGGGACCCCCTTCAGGCTGGTTCCTGTGACCTTTGGCCTGTCCCCGTCTTTCTTTGACTATTTCCTTGCTTTCTAGCAAAGATGTTGTATGCCTATTTTTACTTTCTTTGCCCCAGCCCAGAAGCAGCCATTTCACCAAGGAGCTCTAGTTTCCTTTAGTGGAGTGTGGTGTTCAGAGACTAAGATCTGGCTCTAGATGTACTGTTTATTGCTATTGGGATAGAGCTGCTCCCAGGGCCCTCTTGGTAGACAGAGCTAGAAAATATATGCATTATGTAATTTATATATACACTCATACTTGTGTGTATATATAAAACCATGAGTTTGCACTAACATCTTTGATTCTAGTCCAACACCAAAGGGTTCATTTTAGTTCTTTCCCTTTCCATATCTGTAACTCGGTTCTCTGACAGTGAGACATCTGCGCTCATCATCGTCAGTATGCTTACTTATTTGATTTGTCGACATCCCTTCCACCTTCTCCCACCCCTGTGTAGTTACCCTCCTCACCCACTTGCTCTCTGACACAACCTGCCAGGTACAACATCTCTCCCTCGCTGATCCAAATCCTGTGACTATCTTTAGGATATAAATGCTCTTTCTTCCATGAAACTTTCTAATCTTAATTGCTCTTGTTTATACCGTTTATTCACTCTTAACCCTCCGTCCGGCGCAACTGATCTCACAGATTCATTGCACACAAATTTTCAAATATCTAACAGTTAAGTATTGTGACTCATCGCTTCCATATCTCCCCCCTCTACCATAACCTATCGCCAGTCATGTTTGTAATTTAGTACAGTCAAGATATATTTCATGGGCTGGCCGAGTGGCTCAGTTGGTTAGAGCGCAAGCTCTGAGCAACAGGGTCGCTGGTTCGATTCCTACATAGGCCAGTGAGCTGCGCCTGAGCTGAGCTGCCACTGAGCAGCCAACACATGGCAGGATGGCTCAGCTGGTGAGAGCACATGCTCCTAACAACAAGGTTGCTGGTTCAACTCCCACATGGGATGGTGGGCTACGCCTTCCCGCGACTAAGATTGAACACGGCACCTTGAGCTGAGCAGCTGTGAGCTGCCGACGGGCGACCGGATGGCGACAGGACTTGGAGCTGAGCTAGCTGCGCCCTCCACAACTAAGACTGAAGGATAACAACTTGGCTGTTCCCCTCCCCCAATTCCCCAATAAAAAATTTTTTTTAAAAAGACGTATCTCATATTTGAAAATTTGTGTGCAATGAATCTGTGAGATCAGTTGCGCCCGACAGAGGGTTAATTATAAAACAGTCTCACACTGTCAATTTTCTGGGGGAAAAAAATTATGCCCCACCCATTTTTTTCTCAACTAAAGCTGGTAGAGGACAGACACTGTTGTGTACTTCTTTGATATCCTTTTCAGCACAAAGCATGGTACTTAGTTCTCACTTAAAAGATGATTATTTTGCACTAAAGTTATAGTGATGCTTATTAGGTGTGGGTCATTGGATGACAGGCTATGGAAGAGGTTACACTTTGTTGTTTGTTTTCTCGAAAGCTTATTATAACTTAAATTTCTAAAAGAGTATTATATTTAAACTTACTTGATGATAGAGTTAATTAAAAAATGACTCCATTGTTGAAATATACTTTTGAAACTCTTCTTTTGAAATTGCCTTTAGTGATAGTTTAATAGCCATCTAAGAAAATCAATTTTAGTACTTTACATCACACCTATTAGGTTAACCTAGTGTTAACCAGGTTATTCAACTACTTCTACCAGACTTACTTCTGGGCAACTTTGGGGCATTTCCAAGAATTATACCTACTTGTAAAGTAAAAATTTGCTACCACCAAACATTTTCAGAAGCATGCACTTGCTTTGAAGATAGTTCCAGGAGAGGTTTTAGAAATATTTAAAGTCGCATAATTGAAATCAATATGAAGTCTTTTTAGAAAATAACTTTGCAAGAGCCACGTGCAAAAGAATGAAACTAGACTGCTGTCACTATACACCAAAGTTTGCGGGAGGCCAGTTCCTGCAGGTCCAGGGGAAAACTAGACTGCTGTCACTATACACCAAAGT